ACATCCTTTGTCTTTACAGTTTCTTGGGTTGGGGGGAGACTGATCCCAGGAAGAATGGAGCCACTTCCTACAGCTCTGGTGGAAAGACCAAATACAACATGAGATTGGCCTCTAGTTCTTCAAGGTCAACTTACATTTTCCTCTGTACTTCTTCCTCAGGTGGCAGATGATGGGTATGGGGTCTCCTATATGATCGCAGGTGAAAACACTATCTTCTTCCACGTCTCCAGCAAGTTCTCAAGTTCAGAGACGGTGAGTCTCCCCTGTTCCTGCTCAGTTCTGAGGAGGGTTGCTGTCAGAGGCAACTCAGGAGCACACCCATCTCTAACTGGGGGGGAGTCCTTGTTTGTGGGGAGAGGATGGTGGGAGGTCACGGGTAGGTGTCCCTGAGCTCTCAGTTTCCACAGAATGCTCAGCGCTTTGGGAACCACATCCGCCGAGCCCTGCTGGACATCGCTGATCTTTTCCAAGTTCCTAAACCTGACAACTGAAGGCTGAAGAAATGCCAGCTGCCCTTTCATACCCACATTGCAGAGGAAGGGGCCTGTAGCTGGCTTTCAGGCATAAGGGGTGGCCATGCATAGGTGCCCAGCTCCAAGGACAGCTCTGGAAGCCAGCGCTCCCCAGGCAGATGCTGTTCCCTGAGAGCCCAGGTGGTAGAGGTGGGGTTGGAGCAGGGAGGGAATTTTGATTTTTGTCTTGGTAGATAATAATAAAAATAAGGCTCTGTAATTCTCTCTTAGCCTTTAGGCACCTGTGTTTTGTTTGGGAACTAGAAGGCCTTGCTTCTTCCCTATCTCAGGAAAATGGCAAAGGAAGGGCTGGGTTGGGAGACTGTTCATGAGGGACTTGTGACTGTATTTTTGCTCAGTGGTGAGACTCTGAGATTGCTGTGCACACCCTCATGTGCACTTGCAATAAATTCTTGCTTCAGAACCTCACCTGTTCCCTGGGGCCACTTCTGTTTGTCTGCAGAGACAAACAGACACAAAAATGCACAGGCACAGGGAGGAATTTGTCCCAGGCTTGAAGCTGTGTGCCATTTGATAGTATCTGTGAGGACATATGGGATAACCTGTAGTGGCACGTTCTTTCATTCAGGCTGGCTTTCCTATTAAATAACATTAAAGTAAACCAAAAATAATTTTTATGAAAAGTGTAACACTCAATTACTGTAATTGCTGCTTGCTCAAATAAATCGAAATCTCAGCCTTGTCTACATGCTAAGAACCCAAAAGTGAATCAGGTTCAGTTCTGGACCTTCACTTAGGAACCAGTATTTGTTGAGCACCTACCACAGACATAGCCTTGTGCTAGAGATTCAGTGAGGAACACCATACTATCTCTGTTCATGTAGAATCACTACAAGATGAAGCAGGCATGATCGGGGGACAGAGCAGCTGGCAGAAACCAGGAGGCTTTTGGAAATGACCCATTTAGCAAACACTTACCAAGTGCCAGCAGTGTGCAAAGCCCTGGCATGTGGCAGTGAACAAAACTGGCAAACTCTTCCTTTGGGACTAAGAGTTCAGAGAACAGAGACAATGGCTGAGAAGAATGTGAACATCACATGGGAGACGTAAGCCAGATGGAAATGAGTGCTAAGGGAGAAGCAAGTAAGGGAAGGAAGAGTGGACGAGTGGGTGGCAATTTAGATGGTGGTAAAGGGCAGCCTTCCCGAGTGGAGCCATTGGCTACAGACTTGAAGGGAAGGAGGGACTGAGTACTCATGAGGGACACTCGAAGGAGAGCACGCCTGCCCCAGAGGACAGCGTGAGCCAAAGCTTTTTAGGACAGAGGTCCCTGCTGCAATGGAGGACAGGCACAAGAGGGCTTGTGGCTGGCGTGAAGGGAGGAGAGCAGGAGGGTCAGGAGAAGGGCTGTTTTGGAAGGAATCAGTGACACACAGAGAGGCAGCAGAACGGAAGTAAAATAACAAATTTACTTATCAATAAGGGTCGATCGCACATAAGCCAAGCCTGGATCAATGACGCACTGGGTTAAAACTCCTCCTTTTATGGGGTTTCACAGCCTTGACTTCCTTTGGGTGGTTACATTTCATTCTCACAGTTCAAATCACGGTCACAGGATAGTTAACTTTCAACCCAGACGTAACAGTTCTTTGCAGTTGGGGAGTTTACCTCTAAGATTCGCTTAGTTATCTGTCCTAGTCCATAGGAAGGGGGTGTTCAGGGTCAGGGGAGCAAATGTTAGCAATGGGTTCTTTCGTCTTGACACTCTTATAATCATGTGGCTTCAGTCTCTTCGGAGCTCAAAACCTTGACGTGCCCTGTTATTTCAGGGTAAGACCAATGCCTCAGTAGGCAATTTTTGCCTTTGGTGCCTTTTTGTTTTGAGCTAAACAAAGCAAACTGCTGTTAGAGACAGCAGAAGCCACTTTACATTGTAACACTTTAGAGCTTTTTACTATTTATAAAAGTTTTCCCTATCAGGGAGGCCAGGGCTAAAAGACCAGACTACTGGGCATGGTGACACAATACCAACATTTGGCAGGCTGAGGCAGGAGGATTGTCATGAGTTTGAGGCCAGCCTGAGCTACATAGTGAGTTCAAAGCAAGAAATTATCTAAAAAAAAAAAAAAAAAAAAAA